TCGAATTTCTCACAGGAGATCGCCCATATCATCTCACTCCATGAGAAGCTCGTCAAGCAATACTCCACATTGGAACAACGGGTAAGATCTTGCACATTCATGTCAATATTTCATGCTTGTTTTACAGTATTTCAGTTGCTGTGACTGACGGTTGAGCTTATGTGTGAACAGGAAATGAAGATGCTTGATCAAGTCAGAGCAGGGGACGGCAGCTTCGATGTTTACCTTTTGGAGACCGGGAGGATTGTTGCTGAGAAAATGTCCAGCCTTGCACAGCTGCAAGCTGAGATTGCCAAGTTCCAGTTTACCAGGAGATAGGATGCTTCTTTAGTTTTCTGATCATGCTTTATTTCATCTGACAGGTTTGACATTGGGTTCCCTGACACTGTAACACGAAGGAAAGCTGTTTGTTTGTGTTGATATCAAGCAAAATAGTCAGATCTTCGCTGAACTATCAAATCATAATTGATTACTACCAGGTACACAAAGCTTCAACTTGGCCAACTGAAAGCCAGCACCAACGCGCCACACCGAGCCTGGTGAGCATGTGCTGTGTGACCATAAGAGAATGGCATCTGCCCTGAAAATGGAGGCGACAGCCAGTGTTTACAGCGTACTGCAGTTTTTACCCTTTAAGAATCAGGGTTCGCAAATTTTCCAGTAGGCCATATACCACCCTGTGTCGAAATAGCAGGCAAGAATCAGAAACAGGAATGAGGGGTTTTCACTAGCAGCAGTTGAGATACATATAGGAAACCCTAATTGGGTTCTACTCGCTGTAGAGTACCACACTGCAGGCTAGACAAACATCGACATTCTGACACACCCCCATAGTCAAAGTGGGGTACAATCAACACAACAAGCAGGCAGTGCAATAGTTCACAAGGATAAGCAAAGCTAGAGGCTATCACAGAGGGCAAGTGAGGAGGAGGAGAAACTATGGAGGGCGAGAAGATGAGAGGCGACGGCTGAAGCTGCAGACACACGGGCAACATGAGTGCGCAGCACTGACGCTACCAGGCTAAACCCGGGCTACACGGCGACAGGCGCAGCTGGCTCACTGTGCTCCCAGGAGTGCTCACACTGTGGCTACCGGGCGCAGAGCCCCGGACTACATGGCCACAGGGGGTCGTGGCTCTCTGGACTACCAGGAGTGCTCACACTGTGGCTACCGGGCGCAGAGCCCCGGACTACACGGCCACAGGGGGTCGTGGCTCTCTGGACTTCAGGCGTTGCGGACGACAAGTCGGCTACCTCCGGTCAACCTCCCCCAACTGTCCCACACCCCTTTCACACACCCCCTGCTGAACCACTAGCACCGCTCACACGCCACCCCCCTCGTACCACTCCGACGGCTCCAACACATCCACCCCCCTCAGCGGCAGCTGCAGCAGTGGGAGACGGAGGAGGAGGAGCAGGGGACGGCTCACACACACGGCACCCCCATACTCTCCACCCCCAAACCCTAACACAGGAGTGCGGTCAGAAGCTCGGGGGACGGCGTGCGGCACTGGGGCAGACGGTACGGGCCGCTCACAGGCCTGGCGCAGGCCGGACGAACCGCGCGCGGGCTGCCTGAGCCGCGCGCGGGCCTGGCGCAGCCCGTACGGGCCGCGCGCGGGCTGTACGGGCCTCGCGCGGGCTGTACGGGCCGCGCGCGGGCCTGGCGCAGGTCGCGCGGGCCGCTACGGGCGACGGGGGGCGACGCGTGTCAAAACTAAGTCAAGGGAATGATGAGATTAGGTCAAGGTTGGGGTACAAGACTAGAGTGTCGAGAAAGTTTCTGTACCCCCTAGTGCTAACCCCCATACAGCCTAGATAACCTAAACATGCATATATAATTTGACACACCCCCATAGGCGAAATGGGGGATAGCCAGAGCAAGCAACGGTCACAAGACCAGTCAAGAGAAGAAACAAAACACAGCTCAGGGTGGATCACAACGTCACCACGCAGTCTGAGCACAAGCAAAAGGCCACAAGGCCAGTTCACATGCAGATATATATATATATATATATATCACAGTACAAACAAAGCCTACAGCAAGTGAGGAAACGTGGGCACAAGGCCTAACAAAGTACAGAAACGCTGATGATCACCAGGCGGAAGTGCCTTGGTGAATATATCAGCAGTGTTGGCCCGAGTGGCCACGTAAGCAAGACGAAGGTGACCACGCTGGTGTAGCTCTCGAGCAAGGAAGTAACGCAGAGCGATGTGCTTCGTTCTGTGCTCCAGTCTGTGCTCCTGACACAAGGCAATGGCGGCCTTGTTGTCGACGTACAGCACTGGAGGAGAACGAGGCCTCTCTCCCAAGTCGGTCAGCAGGTAGGTGAGCCAGCGTAACTCCTGTGCAGCCATGGCTGTGGCGTAGATCTCAGCCTCACAACTGGAGCTGAGAACTGAAGACGAGCGTGTAGAACGCCAAGAAACCGAACCAGAGCCAAGGCTGAAGGTGTAACCCTGTGACGACCGCTGCGTAGCCTGGTCGTCAACCCAAGAAGCGTCTGAGTGCCCAGTGAGGACAACGTCGCTCCGTCCTCCAAGCACGAGCCCCATGCCCGATGTACTGCACAAGTAGCGTAGTACCCTCTTAGCAGCATCCATGTGCACCTTTCGGTGCCGACCAGGAGCCACGTAGCGAGCCAGAAGGCCAAGAGGGTACGCAAGGTCAGGACGAGTGCAGGTCATCAGGTACATGAGGCAGCCCACTAGCTCTGGGTAAGGACCACTCGGCTCTACGGACTCGTCCGAAGGTGGAGCTGAGAGCAAGTGACCTGTAGCCAGAGGAGTGTGCTGTGCCGAGGACCAGGTGAAGCCGAAGCGCTAAAGGACCTGCTGCACCATGTGTGACTGAGTCAGTGTGATGGTGCGGCGTGCTCTGTCCCGGGTGATCCGCAAGCCAAGATAGCTTGTCAGCTCACCCAGGTCTGTGCACGTGTGTCTCTTCTGCAGCTCCGACTTCACCAGGGCGAGAGCCTCAGTGTCAGTAGTGGCAAAGACCAAGTCGCCGACGTACACGAGGATGTAGAACGGCGGCAGTGAAGTGTCGGTGCGGAGAATCAGCGACGGGTCAGCAATCGACGGAGAAAACCCAAGAGCCGCAAGTGTCGTCCTCAGTGTGTCGTGCCACTCACGCGGCGCCTGACGGAGACCGTAGACCGGCCGCCGGAGGCTCCACTGGGTACCAGGAGGGAACGACCCAGTGAAGCCAGGTGGGCGGCGCAGCCAGATCTCCTCGTGCAGGCTGCCCTGTAAGAAAGCTGTGCTGAAGTCAAGAGAGTGAAGCTCGTAGTCACGCTGGGCGGCAACGTGCAGCAGCACCCGAAGAGTGGTCATCTTCGGGGTGGGGGAGAAGGTCTGGAAGAAGTCAACTCCCTCTCGCTGACTGAAACCTCGAGCAACGTAACGAGCCTTGAAGACAGGCGGAGAACCTGGCGGCCGCTTCACCCTGAAAATCCACATGCCACTGACGATGTTCGCCCCAGGAGGGGGAACCTCGTCGACGTAGGTGCCTGTGGACTTCCAGGATGCCATCTCTGCATCCATGGCTGTCTGCCACTGAGAGGAGTACTCACCCGCGATCGCCTCAGCGTAAGAGCGCGGGGACGGGATGTCTGGTGCATCCGGGTCTCCCTCAGGGGCAAGCAGCATGGACACAAGATGAGGCGCAGCGGCTGCAAAATACTCAAGGTCCTCGTGCCTGTCCTCAAGGACGTCCATGCCAAGAGCACACTCACCCCCGACGGACGGAGGACAGACAGACTCAGACTCAGCAACAAACTAGCAGCGTAGTCTAGACGACAGGCAGCAGCAAAGTCAACAAGCTCAGCGACTAAGGCAGACGCAGCAGCAGACTCAAACGACGGGTCAGTGACAACAGTGGCTAGCAGACGCGTGACAGTAGTGCTCAGCACGAAACCGGTCAGACTCAGGGTCTGGAACAACAGGCAGAGAAGAGGGTACTGGAGCTGCTGGAGGCGCTGGAGCTGCTCGTGGCGACGGGCAGAACGCGCGCGGCTGCGGGCTGCGTGCGGCGACGGGCCTAAGCAGGCTGCGCGCGGGCGGCGTAAGGGGCGCGCGGGCTCTACGCGGGCTGCGCGGGCGACGCGGGCCGGCGTGCGGCTCTGCAGCAGTGGCGCGCGCTAAAAACAGTGACGCGCGCGCTAGAAACCGAGGCGCGCGCGGAAAAAAAGTGACGCGCGCTGCAGCTGAGGCGCGCGCGGGCAGTAGGCAAGGCAGGCAGGTGGTAACACAGTTAGGTGGGCCCGATTCTTAGGTCCTAGAGACCTCCTGCTCTAGATACCATGTCAAGACTAAGTCAAGGGAATGATGAGATTAGGTCAAGGTTGGGGTACAAGACTAGAGTGTCGAGAAAGTTTCTGTACCCCCTAGTGCTAACCCCCATACAGCCTAGATAACCTAAACATGCATATATAATTTGACAACGCGCGGGTCCCCGGGGGCGCTGCGACGGGCGACGGGGGGCGACGCGCGGATCGACGGGGCAGAAAACCGCCGCGCGCCCCGAGCGCGCGGCGGGATGAAAAATACGCCGTGCACCCGAGCGCGCGGCAAGCAGAACACGTCGCGCGCCCGGGGCGCGCGATAGGCAGGACAGCAGCGGAAGCATTAGGTGGCGGGCCCATCCACAGAATCGACCCAGGAGGGTCGACCTGCTCTGTTAGCATGTCGAAATAGCAGGCAAGAATCAGAAACAGGAATGAGGGGTTTTCACTAGCAGCAGTTGAGATACATATAGGAAACCCTAATTGGGTTGTACTCGCTATAGAGTACCACACTGCAGGCTAGACAAACATCGACATTCTGACACCCTGTTGTCCAGAGTTGCCCAAAACCACTCTAGAGCCCTGACTGGTGAAGAACTTCGCCTCCATATTACCTTAATGTTAGGGTGAGTCACGCTTGGTGTGTTTACGATTTGTTTATCAATATTCAGGCGTAATAGTCAAAATGATGTAGAGTGCACATCTTACCGGTACTCAGCCGCTTTCAACGAACTGTAAACACACGACACGTGGCCCACCATTGGCATAAAGAAATCCCTCAAGAGTGCACTATCACAAAAACACATACCATAGCACTCATGGCTGATGTTATGTCCAAATAAAGAAAAAAAAAAGGTGCTGCGTCAGCTAACGTCCGGATGCCTAGCGTCCTTGGCCCTACTCTTTGCTGCTGCCACTCGCTTCTTTTTGCGCAACAGCATCCATGCCGCCTGTCGGGCACTTCCAATCTGCTTCATGGTGCTACCATTGCTGCCCTTTTGCTTCAATGCCGCAACAGCTTGACCTTTCCCTTTTCTCGCGGCACCCATTTTCCTGCCGTCCGTATTCCCAACAGTGGCACCATGTTTACTCACATTCAAATGCCCGCTCGAGTGCATATCCTTGCCATCCGCAGCATCAATCCCAGGAGCAACCACAACAGCAGCAGCAGCAGCAGTTTCACCACCAACAGCAGCATCCACTGCAGCAGCAGCATTGGGAACTCCAGGCAGAGAATCCACCTTCTCATCCCCTTGCCCACCATCTCCTCTATCTTGGCTCCCCAACCGCTCGTTCGCTCCATCAACACTTCGATTAGGCAGGTCACCGTCAATACTGTCAAGATCGTCATCTTGATCTCCCAGTGCTAGCCGCTTCTTCCCCTTCTTCCGCTTCCTCATGTTCATCAGCTCTTTATACTCACGATTCATCTCATCCTGCTCATCCTCCTCCCGTGCTCTTCTTACTGCTCGCGCCCCAACAGACTTCATAGAAGCTACGTCGACCCGTGGCCCCTTGCCGGCTTGATCCTTGCCCTGCTGCTGCCGCTGCTGTCTCCCAGGCTTGGATGATTTCTCTCCGTTTTGAGGGTTCTCGGAACCTTCCTGCTGCTGCTTCAGGAACTGTTGTCGCTGCTTCTCCCGGTTCTTATCCCTGCACGACCAGTCAGGAAGGGAGGAAGATGTTTGAGGCGCCTAGGAAAGATACAAAAAGGAAGGGAGAAAGAAACTGCACATGTTACAAGGGTTGGCCCACTGCCATGCTGTTGGCTTTGACCTTTGCAGGCACATTGCTAGGGGCAAAGGGGAAAGAGGAGGGGATGGGAGGGGAGGAAGGGGTTTTGTGTAAATTTGGGTGGAAAATGTGACAATCTCTCTCTAATCATCCTGACTTACGTCACAAGCACTTTCCAGAATCGTTCATACTATGATACGATAGGATGCAAGCTGTCACCTGTCATGCCTGTCGGGTTGTTAGGAGCTGATTCGATCTCGGTAAGCAGACTGAGAACGTTCTTACCTAGAAGAACCACTAGTTTTAAATGGCTTCAACTGTATGGATCCAACTATATATACCTATTATGGATTTGACTATGCCTGTCATGCCTGACATGGCTCGTACATACCTGTCGTGCCTGTCATGCCTATCGTGCACTGGACTGGAGCAACCCTTTAGAACTGCACGGACTCACTTGTATTTGAGCGTGGCCACATCCACGGTCTTGCTGGGCTCAAAGCCGTCTAAAAGGCACGGATGATGGCGGGTTGCTCCTTGTCATCATGCCATTCATGGATTTGAACGATACCTTTACACATAACAATCTCGTTCTGATTGAGTAAATGAAACAGACTCACTTGTATTTGAGTGTGGCCACATCCACAGTCTTGTCGGGCTCAAACCCGTCAAAGAGGCGCGGATGGTCGCTGGCGGGGTGCCTCCTCTCGAGCCAGTCTTGCCAGTCATGCATTTGCGTGACTTGCTTACACGTAACAAACAAACTCACTTGTATTTAGGTGACTTTTGAGTCGACTCAAAAGTCACCTCGAAACAAACTCACTTGTATTTGAGTGTGGCCACATCGACGGTCTTGTCGGGCTCAAATCCGTCAAAGAGGCGCGGATGGTGGCGGGTTTCCGGCATGCGGGGGATCTTGAGCACACCATACGACATGGCCACTGCTCCCATCTCCAGCTCTTGAAACCTGAAGACAACGAGGGAGTGGGTGGGGGAGATGGGAGGGAGGTGGAAGGCGGGAGGTATTGGGGGTGGTGGGGGCAGGGGGAGGAGGAAAGTGCGTGGGGTTTGGAAGGTAGAGGAGTGGTGCACGTTGCTTGAAGCATTCTTCAAACGGTATGAGATTGCAACCAGTATGAATGGAAGTGGAAGAACGAAGCACGAGAAAGCAAGCAAGATAGAGATTGATAGAGGGAGAGGCGCCAAGAACGTGAGGGAGAAGAGAGAGAGGAAGGAAGGGAGGGGAGGGGACATGGGGGCAAAAAGGCGCACTTGAAGATGTAGTTGCAGTGATACTCCTGATAGCGAGTTTTAAGACTTAGTGGTGCATCTTACCTGAAGATGTAGTTGCAGTGGTGCTCCTTGTAACCCCTTACAAACGACACAAACGCCCGCACACCCTTCTCCACCACTGCACGATCCTTCCGCGAAGCTTCCCTCAGCTGCCACGCATGCACGCACAAGCTCAAACGCATGAGCATTATAGCGTGGGAGAACCACTAATGTTGAGATAGTTATTATGCATACCCACTAGCACATTCTTGATCACCTTAGGAACAATTGTCGACCGAATGAAGAAAAGGAAGAACGGGTAACAATTGACCGAATCCATACTGTCCCACAGAGAAAAACTCAACAGACCATCAAAGGTGTTTCTTCTTCTTCTTTTTTCTCTCTCTCCTTTTGGTGGTTTGATAAGTATTCATAATCACCTGCGGAATGATGTCGACAGCATCGGGAAAAGGGGGTTCCATCACCACGGGCACTCCTTGCAGCCGCAGATACTCCGGGTATGAATCCTCCTGGCAGGACAAGGCACAGCGGGGAAGCGAAGGGAAATGGTTGAACCTTTAAACGCCTCCGAAGGAGTAGACTTGCAGCCGCAGATACTCCGGGTACGAATCCTCCTGGCAGGGCACGAAGGGACGAGAAATGACTTATAATAATTATTTGCTAATCCCCCCATCCTCCCCCCTTCCACCCCATCCCCCCCCTCTATCGCATCCCTCTCTGTTCCTCATTTTTACCACCCCTCACTACCCCCTCACCTCTCCCCACCCTTCCCCCTCTCTCCCCCCACCACACCTTAGGCAGCAGCCACACGAGAGAGGAAAGAACCTGGTCTGCACATGCGTGCGGTACGGCCCGGGTGATGCACAAGGGCAGGGGGGTCCTGGGGGGGGGTCGAACTGCAGGATGCTCCTTACCTACCCTTTCTCCCTTCCCCCTTTCCCCTTTCCCCTTTCACCCCCTCCCCGCTCTCCGTTCCCTCTTCTCCTCCCCACTTCCAACTGCCCTGTCCCCACTCCCCACCTTAGGCAGCAGCCACACAAGCGCGGACCCCTCCCTGCCCATGCGGGCAGTGCGCCCTGCGCGGTGCACGAACGCGCGCGGGTCCTGGGGGGGGTCGAACTGCAGGATGCAGTGCACCCCGGGAATGTCTGTCCTGTCCCGCCCCCACCCTTTACCTTGGGCAGCAGCCACACGAGTGCAGACCCCTCCCTCCCCATGCGAGCCGTGCGCCCTGCGCGGTGCACAAACGCGCGGGGGTCCTGAGGAGGGTCGAACTGCAGGATGCAGTGCACCCCGGGGATGTCGAGGCCCCTGGCCGCCACGTCCGTGCAGATGAGGACACCACGCTCCGCCTTGCGGAACGCCGCCACTGCTGCATCGCGCTTCGACTGGAAGCAGGGGAGGGGTGGGAGGAGGCGGGAATGGGAGGCGTGAAGTGCAGGATGCAGTGCACCCCGGGAATGTCGAGGCCTCTGGCCGCCACGTCCGTGCAGATCAGCACCCCTCGTTCTGCTTTGCGAAAGGCTGCAACAGCCGCATCGCGCTTGGACTGGTGAGGAAGGAAGTGGGGGAGGGGGAACGGGACGGGGAGAGGGAGGGGGAGATGGGGAGAGGGGAGTGCGGGGGCGGACGGGAGGGGGTGAAACTGGTGAAGGCGTGGCAAGGGCACGTTTAAACGCCTTGAGATGGAGGGAGGTGAAGGGGAGAGGCAGGCGTGTGATGTGAAGTGCAGGATGCAGCGTATGCTTTTTGAGAATTCTCAAAACACATACGCTGCACCCCGGGGATGTCGAGGCCCCTGGCCTGGCCGCCACGTCCGTGCAGATCAGCACTCCCCGCTCCGCCTTGCGGAAGGCCGCCACTGCTGCATCGCGCTTTGACTGGAGGCAGGGGAGGGGTGGAAGGAGGCGGGAATGGGAGGCGTGAGCTGCAGGATGCAGTGCACCCCGGGAATGTCTAGGCCCCTTGCCTCCACGTCCGTGCAGATCAGCACTCCCCGCTCCGCCTTGCGGAAGGCCGCCACTGCTGCATCGCGCTTTGACTGGTGGGGAGAGAGGCGGAGGAGGGGGGACAGAGAGAGGGGGAAAGGGGAGTGGGGGGCGGCCAGGATGGGAAGAGTGAATGAGAGCAGGCATGGGAGTGGTGAGGGAGGGAGAGTGGACAATAATGAGGGAGGATGGGGAAGAGGATGGGCGGGCAAGGGAAGGAGGGGGGAAAGAGGCTGCTTACAGGGAGATTTGCGCGTGCAGCACACCAGACACATTTAACTACTAAGTTCCTAAGCTCCTATTAAAAGGGAGACATTTGAGAACATCGCAAGGAGGGATTAGGCTGCCTCAGATGCCCCCTGAGCCCCAGATGCCACCTGCCCCTCAGATGCCACCTGCCCCTCAGATGCCACCTGCCCCTCAGATGCCACCTGCCCGTCACTCGGCACGTGCCTGCTTGAGCTTGCCATGCAGGGGGAAGAAGGATATGCCCTCGAGGGGCGAGAGCAGAGGTAGCACGGAGCCCCAGTAGTCCACACACGCACACGTCATCACGAAGCTGCACCCACAGGAAGGAAGGGTGGGTGGGTGGTTGGTTGAGACCAGAAGGGTGCGTATGGGAGGGTGAGAGGGGCGAGAGCAGAGGTAGCACGGAGCCCCAGTAGTCCACCACGCACACGTCATCACGAAGCTGGGCGGGAAGAGACGGATGGGAGGGAACACGGGGGGAGAAACGGGGGTGGCGGGAACAGGGGAAGAGTTGGGGGAAAAGCAGGGGAGGGGGGGTTGTGGGGTTGGTGGGAAGCGGAGGGAAGGGATATGAGAGACTCAGATTTGAATCGGTTTGAAAGCAGCGTGGTCTGGTGCGTGGGAGGCAAGCATATGAAGCAGGAGGGGAAGGAGTGGGTGAGCGAGGAACAAGCACACATGAGGATGGAAGGACGGGTGGGAGGGAGGGGTGAGCGCAGAGGAGAAGAGTGAAACGAGAGAGCGAGGTGCACGCAGAGAGAGAGTGACAACGGAGAGTGGAGCGGCAATGCCATGGGGAGAGAGAGAGGGAAGGGGTAGGCCGGTAGGTGGGTGGGTGGGCGGGGAAGCGGGCGGGAAGGCAGGCAGGCTCTCACAGCATGACTTTGCGGTCGGGGTGTTGGCTGAGCCAGTGCACCAGCTGACTCGCCTTGCTGCGCGCTCCGTCACACACTATGGCCTGGGGGGAGGGGCGAGGGGGCACGTGGCCGAGGGGTGCGGTATGTATGGGGGAAAGGGGGAGGGGGAGGCGGAGGGGGAGGGGAGGGGGAAGGGGGGAAAGAGAGGAAGGGAGAACGGGTTGGGAACAATCGAGCGCGAGACAGAAGGCTTGGTTGAGAGGGGAAAGGACAGTTGGGAGAGGAGAGTTGGGAGAGGAGAGTTGGGAGAGGAGAGTGCAACAGGAGGGGAGGGGCCAACGGAATTAAAAGAGAGTCAAAACGGAATCAACGGGCTGAATAACTATGGAACGACATTAAAGACTGTATCCACAGAGCGTTCCATTGTTCCTTGAACCATGCCCATGCCCATGCCCATGCCCATGCCCATGGAACAAGATGAAGGACCATGACCATGTATCCATGCCTATGCTCCCCTGCCACACATTCTCTCACCCACCCACCATCAACTTATCACTCTCCCCAGTCCTCCAATTCCCATGCCCTCATCCCCCCATATTCTCATGCTCCCGCAACCGCCCTGCTCCCATGCTCCTCGTACCCCTCCCCTCCCATCCACCTCCCACCTCCCCCTCCCCTCCTCTCCCGCCCCCCGTACCTGCACTTGAAGCCCCACGGGGATCTTTACTGCTCCCGCCTTCTCCATCGCAGCCCCATACCTGCTATTCCCGCCTTCCACCGCCCCTCCCCCTGCTCCTTCCCCCATCCCCTGCGCGCTCCCCCCCCCTGACGCAGCAGCGTCCGCAGCACCAGCGCCAGCAATTCCGCCCGCCGCTCCCCCCGCGCCCGCGCGCGCGAGCGAGCGCACTTCGACGCGGACGGGGTTGCGCATGCCCGCGAGCGCGAGCTCCTGCAGCGCGGATGTCTGCGTGGCGGAGAAGAGCCCCGTGCGGCGCTGACGTGGCAGGCGGTGCAGGATGGACTCGAGGCACGCCGCGAAGCCCAGGTCCAGCAGGCGGTCCGCCTCGTCCAGTATCAGCACCTGCGCGCGGGGGGCCGGAGTGCGGAAGGGGACACGCGCAGGGAGGGGGTTGTGGAGAGAGGAGGGGGGGGCGGGGGGGTGGGGCGGACGGGGGAGGTGCGGAGGTGAGAAGCCCAGATCCAGCAGGCGGTCCGCCTCGTCCAGTATCAGCACCTGCGCGCGCACGCACGGAGGGGTGGGGGGGGAGGGGACGCGCGGAGGGGGAAAGGGGGGTGCGGAAGGTGGAGGTGCGGAGGTGAGAAGCCCAGATCCAGCAGGCGGTCCGCCTCGTCCAGTATCAGCAAAAGTACAGCCGTTGTCACAACAAAATCTCCAAGTTACCGAGAGTTACCGCGCTCACCTCTAATGCTCTTAAATCGAGGCCGCAGTTCGGCCGCGACAGCACATCGTCGATCCTGCCCGGCGTGCCTATAATCACATTCGCGCCGTCCTCGGAGATGCGCGCCACGTCCACGCCGACCGCGTGTCCCCCCGTTAGAAGCATGCAGCGGAGATTGGGCAGCGCGGCGGAGAGAAAAGGCTCCGCCACCGCGTGTATCTGCGCCGCCAGCTCGCGCGTGGGGGAGATGATCAACGCGCCCAGCTGCTCAGGGGAAACGCCCGGGAACGGGGGAAAGAGGATGAGGGTTTTGGGGACAATGGGGGTGAGGGGAGTGGGGAAAAACGGGAAAGCACAAAGGGCAGATTGGGGGACATAGGAAATCAGCGCCACGGCGGAATGGGGTCGAGGGAGAGGAGGGGTTGGGGAAGGGGGGCGGGTTGAGGGGGGGAGGAGGAGAGGGAGGGGGGCTTGTGGGGGAAGGGGATGGGGGATGGGTACGGGAAGAAGCGGAAGAGAGAAATAAGACTGGACCAGACGAGGGCGGAGAGAGGGCGGAAAGCGCGCGGAAACAGCGCGCCCGAAACTCTGCGACATGGAACCCACCTGGAATTTCTTTAACGACGTCGCTACTCGTCGAAGAATCTCCGCCACGGGCAGCACAAACGCTAGAGTTTTTCCGCTGCCCGTGACGGCCTCCGCCGCCACGTCCTTATTCCCGCACAGCAGCGGCACACACGCCGCCTGTACTGGCGTCGCGAACTCGAACCCGAACCGCCCCAGCACTGAGAGGGTATCCGCGCAGAGCGGCGGACGCAGATCTGAAAAGCGTACCGTGCTCACCGCCAGCGGCGGTGCCGGCGGGGCTTGCGCGAGTTGCGCGGGTTGCGCAGGCTCAGGCGGCGCATCTGGCTGAGATTTAGGGTGGGGGGCTTTGCGCTTCCCCTTGGATGATTTAGGCGGCATTGTGGTTATGCTGAACAATCCCTCCTAAGGTTCCTCCAAGGTAAAAAGATACTAGACGAAAGCCCACTCGGCAATCCCGTTGACTAAAACTATTTCGCTATACGAAGAACACGCGTCTAGAGACCTGCACTGAAGTGAGAGGAAAACGGGCCTCAGAAATAGATGGAAGGTGCTGAAAGCCCTCAAGATTCCTGGGTCTCGGGTTTTGAGCGGGGTTTTGAAGGGTTGCATATTTGTGGTGTAGCTTTTGCACTGTATACCCTGCTTACAGAGGCTATATTATCTAAACTATCATGAGGCGCCCTTGATATTTTCGCGGAAAATGGTGGGTGCTCACAGTTCGGCTACGCCAATGTCGGGTTCCGCTCACGTGCTACAGAAACCCCCTTTAACAGAATACCCCCTTTAACACGGTATATCTTACAGAAACGCACTATAACGTCATCAACCACTCTGCAAAGAATTGGTGGCGCATCTTCGCACACACATATCGTCACACTTCATTTGAAGTCCCCTTTCAGTCTGGTCCAGCAGGATACTGTACTTGTGGAGGAGGGAGGGAAATATTGCTCGCGCGTGCCAATTCACAAATCACTTGCTCCCAAATTGGTCCATCCAGACCAGATTGCATCTAGACTCTACTTTCTTGTCAGGGGGAATCTTGCCTCGGCACCGCATCGCGGCATTTCCTCTCTGGTTCTACATTCCCCCTCGTCTTGTCTCATACTTCCCTCACCAATGGCGCGCGCGGTAAATTTTCAGTCCTGCCTTTTTTCCGCCTCCGCGCACCTCCTTCTCCCCTCTCAACACTCTGCGGCTTTTCTCCGCCAGTCCACCGCGTCTCTCGCTCCCACTTTCTCCGCCACGTCCGCCGTGACTCCCGCCCTAGCCGCTGTTTCCGGCGGCGGATCGCCTCTTGTTTTTATCGAGGGCGAACGCTCGATGCCGCGCAAACGCGCTGCGCGGAAGACCCGTGGTCGCCGCGCGATCTGCCGAGCGGAGAACGCGGAGAAGGGTAGCGCGTCGACGGCGAGGGGCGATGGTGACGCAAGCGGTAAGATGTCAGTATGATTGTTCGTCACGTCGTTAATCTATGTCTTGAGATCGTCTGAGCAAACAGCTCGGTGTTCTCGTTACTGAGTTCACGCACAGTGTACCGTCGTTCCGACGTAAACTTATCCTATACTCTGCTTAACGCCTCCTTCCCACATACGTTTCTAGCTTCCCACTCCACCGTATGCTCTTGCCTGCTCATTCCCCTCCTTTTCCCCTTCTTCCCATCCCCCCCCCCCCCCCTGCCTCCCCTTTCCTCCCCCTTCTCCCCCGTCTCCCACTCCCCCCCCCCCGCCCTTCCATTTACATTTTCCCACCTTTCCCCGCCCTCCCCCAATCCTTCCCCAACCTTCTCCGCCGCTCCCTGCATGCCCCGCCCAGGCGCGTCCCTCTCCGTGCTCGTCGTGGGCGGCGGCGGTCGCGAGCACGCGCTCTGCTACGCGCTGCGCCGCTCGCCCTCCACCGCGCACGTCTTTTGCGCGCCGGGAAACGCGGGCATCGACCTCTCCGGCGACGCCACGTGTCTGCCGTCCCTGGATATCCGCAGCAGCAAGAGCGTGATCGAATTCTGCCGCGAAAACCGCGTCGGGCTCGTCGTTGTCGGGCCCGAAGCGCCCCTAGTCTCGGGATTAGTCGACGATTTAGTACAGAACGGGATTCCCGCGTTCGGTCCGACGCAGGGCGCGGCGCAGCTGGAGGGCTCGAAGGGGTTTATGAAGATGATCTGCGATAAGTACGGCATTCCGACTGCTAAGGTGAGCAGTGGATGGTGGCGTACGGGTGAGATTGCGAGAAAGTGGGAGAGTGGGTAGAGAATGCGTGGGAGGGAGAGATAGAAGCGGGGGAGAGTGAGTTGAGTGGGTGCGAGTGAGAGGGGGGGTGCTTGGAGTTTGATGGGTTGCGGAGGGGTTTAGGGTTCGGTCTGGCTGGGTATGGGGGGTTCTGTTCCAAATTCGGTAAGTGTCCCTCTGGCTTCCCCTCTCTCTGTTCCCCTCCCTCCGTGATCCCCCCCCAATCTCCCCTCCCTTTCTCATTCTTGCTCGCTCCTCCCCAGCCCACCCCCTCTTCCCCCCCACCCCCCACACCCTTCCACACACACCCTTCCACACACACCCTTCCACACACACCCTTCCTGCCGCCTTTGCCTCTCAATCGCTGTTTCCTCTCTCTTTCTGCTCGCATGCCCTGTGCCCCTCCCTTTCCCCTTGCCCCTCCCCTTGCCCCTTCCCTCGCCCAGGGCTCCAACTCTCGCCCCTGCAAACTTCCCTTCCTGACCCAAACCCCCTTCCCGCTCCCCCTCCCCCCTCCCCCTCCCCCTCCCCCCTCCCCCTCCTTCCCGCCTTGTCCCCCTCTCTATCCCAGCACGCGTCCTTCACAGACCCAACCAAAGCCAAAGCATACATCCGCGAGCAGGGCACGCCAATCGTGGTCAAAGTGGACGGGCTCGCAGCGGGCAAGGGCGTGGTGGTCGCAACAACCCTCGAAGAAGCCGAATCCGCCGTCGATCGCATGCTCATCGACCGGGAGTTCGGGTCCGCAGGCGGGCAGGTGCTAGTGGAAGAGTTTCTGACCGGAGAAGAGGCGTCGTTTTTCGCGGTGGTGGATGGGACGTCGGCCGTCCCGCTGGCCTCCGCGCAGGATCATAAGCCGGTGGGAGAGAGCGACACGGGCCCGAACACGGGCGGCATGGGCGCGTATTCCCCCGCGCCGGTGGTGACTGCGGAGGTGGAGCGGTTTGTGATGGAGCGGATTATTGCGCCGACCGTGAAGGGCATGCGTGCGGAGGGGCTGCCGTTCACGGGCGTGCTGTATGCCGGGCTCATGGTGGATGCGAGTGCGGGCACGGCGAAGCTGCTGGAGTATAATGTCCGGTTTGGAGACCCCGAGTGCCAGGTGCGGACGGGGGTGGGGGGGTGTGGTGGGAGGGGTAGGGTAGGAGGGGGAATGGGGAGGGGAGGTGGGTTGGGGGATGGGGGTTGGGGGTGGGGGATGCGGGATGGGGGATGGGGATGGGGATGCGGGATGGGAGGGGGTGTGGTGATGGGGAAGTGGAAGTGGGTGGGAGAGGGGATGGGATGAGTTGGGCTGGACGCCAGTTTCTTTCCCACATCATGGCATTACATGCATACCACACATGCTGGATCATAACATGACATTTACACCATGGCATGTCACACATACTGTACCATACCATGCAATCCCATTCACACGCACACATCATTATCTCACTTGCCCTTGAAATCCTACTCTGGCCCTCTTCTGCAGTATCCTTCCCACCCTCTCATCCAACCTTCCTCCTATCCTCCCCTCCCACGCTCGCTCCTTTCCCCTTTCTCCTTTTTTCCGTACATTCCCCATCCCTCCTCCAAATCCCGACCTCTCTTTTCCCACCCTCTCTTTTCCCACCCTCTCTTTTCCTACTCTCTTTTCTGCACTCCCCGAATTCCCCTCTCCCTCGCTCCCCTGTCCCCCTCTTTCCCCCCTGCCACCCACACCCCCCCACCAGGTGCTGATGAAGCGTCTGCAATCGGACCTCTCCCAGCTGCTCCTCTCCGCCTGCCACGGCACCCTCTCCTCCCTCCCGCCACTGCAATGGACAACTGACCCCGCCCTCGTCGTTGTGCTCGCCGCCAAGGGCTACCCCGGAGCATACGAGTCTGGAACGCCCATCCATGGCCTTGCTGCTGCTGCTGCCACTGACCCGAGAGTTACTGTTTTCCACGCGGGTACGAAGCTTGTGCCGGGAGAGGGAGCAGCAGGAGCAGCCGCAGCAGGTGGGGCGGCGGAAGGGAGGACTCCTGGAGCGTTGGGTGAGACGGAGAGGGGAGTGAGTGAGGGGAGGGAGGGGCAGGTGGTGGCGGCGGGGGGGAGGGTGCTGGGTGTGACTGCTCTGGGAGGGAGCGTGGGGGAGGCGCAGGCTGTGGCATATAGAGCCGTGGATAAGGTCGAGTGGAAGGAGGGGTTTTGCCGGCGGGATATCGGGTGGAGGGCTGTGGAGAGGGAGAGCCAGCACAAGCAGGCGAAGTGAAAGGGGCAGGGTGATTGCTGAGTGTGGTTCATGTTATGGGCTTGGGTTTTTGTTACCGTGTCACAGATACTGGTACCAGTACATCATGAGGTTTTGCCAGTGTGGCAAGCAAGCCCGTATGGAGTGGAGCAATGAGTAAAAACTTATGGTTCTGGCATTGGTATGTTCAGCTCTTATATTGACCTCTGATCGCCAGCATACGTTGAGCATTCAGCCTAGGCTTCAAATAACTCAAATGTCGTGTATTAAGCTAAGGAATTAACCTTAGCATATCATGCATTTGTCTATACTTCACCTTTTTTAGGTTTTTGTTACAGCAGTTGGTTTGTGAGTTCGGTTTGGTTCCAGTGCAGCCTCGCTTCCACGGCTAGCCTTCCCGCGTTATGAGCTCGCTTCTGAAACTGTTCTCAACCACACAGAATCATGCGGCGGGCAGCACTCGATTCCACGCTTGGTTGGCTTTCTCAGACCGGGCTGCTCGAGACGAAAAGCTGTCCTTGATTGTTGATCCTCCTCCAGTAAAAAAGCGGAACGGGATTCATCCAACCCTCCAATTCGCCGAGCACCGCCTTTTTGACTGCACTTTTTGCAAAAAGCGTCAAACTCTATTCGTGGGCGGATCAAAGATGGCCGACGTGGCGAGCGTATGTTGGTGAAACTGAAATATCTTCCATGTTTACGTGCTTTGTTTCTGCCACCAATCTCTCCTCCGAAGCGTGGACAACGCTATGATTACTTCGGCAGAGTGTTTTGTCGTTGGCGAATCAAACACTTGAATACACAGAATATAAATCACAGCCCTCTTCTTTTCAGTAACATACGCAGTGGTAGGGAAACTGTTGGCAGAGTCATTTGCAGTAGTCCCACCATCGCAAGCGATTCTAGTGCTGCATTCTAGCAATTGTGTAAATTGCATGATAGAAATCAGGAAACCATAACTCAAAATCGATATTTTATATTCTTTATTTTGATAGGTATATGAAAAATAAAATGCACAATTTTTCCAATGCCTATGTTTTTCCACCATCACAAAATAAATTAGTGGGGGTATGTAGGGGAAGTGGACCGAGAGGGAGGAAGGTTGAAGGAATTGGTTTGTATGTTGTACTGTTTTTCAGACACAATATATTAAATGTAATTTTCTTATTCACTCGGAATTTCCTTATTCACATGTCATATTTTTACATGTCGGTTATTTAGATACAACGCAACATTGATTATTTTTTATTAGTGACATTTCGGTAAGGAGCTTATATAATTTGGCAGAATCTTTAACCGTATTCGCGGCGTTGAATTTTGTTTTCTGATATTCCAATAATATAAATGATTTATTGTGTCTAATTGATTATGTATTGAGTTGGAAAGTACAGAAAGTGGTGTCTTGGTTCTAGAACATGCTTAATGTTCCACAATATCCAATATCCAACCAGGGTCGCTATAGTTTTGCAAAATTCTATCCAAATAGCTTGATTTTGGGGTTGAACAATTCACATTGTAAATCTTCGCAACACGATATCTCACAAAACGTTTCTCAACACCAACATTATATCTCCGTAGCGCAAACTACGTGTATTTACGCGAATGCCAATCTCCACCGCACCCTCCCTATCCCTTCCAATTTCATTCCTACCAGTCATCGACCAGGCCTCCCAGGCAAAGTTGATAGTTTTACCAAAGTGCCAATCATATTAGCCCTAGCAAAACCGGGCTAGTTAGACACTCGAGTATTAAGTCTGCAATTGCTTCATGCCACCACGATTGTTGCGACCTTGAAGCTCAAGGCCCAAATTGCACAAGATTACTAATCTTGCGTAAGTTTGAGTGCTGAGGTGTGGGTAGAGAGAGAGGGTCTGTGGATGGGATGCGTGCGGGCAACCGAAATGCTTTCTGCTGGATGCATACGTTTGGGCAGCCCCACTGTGGCTCTAACTTTTTGTCTTGGTGACCTTTTCGTGAAACCGGTTCGGGACGTCGTCTGTGGATCACAAACAGCGCGATCAATTCCACCCCCACAATACCTTGCGGAGGTGCTTTTCTCTGCACTTTTTGCACGCGAATCGTGAGCTACGATGTTCAGCAAGGCAAAAGCAATCCAGCGTGGCAAAAAAACGTCATCGTGAAAAATATATTTCGTTTTATCTTGGCAGACACTCGGCCACGTCGATATCTTCAACCGAAATCGCGGTCACTGCCATGCACTTTTTGATGCGCTTTTTCGCGGGCATATCAGAACGGAACCCCGCATTCGTCGAAGCGGAGCGCACTGCTGCTTTGGTCACTCAGCGGATCAAATGCTGTTTCCACCACACCCTCCCTATCCTCCCCCCGTGTCTTTCCTCTCCCAACTCAATCCTTTTCTCTTCCCTCCACACCAACCCTTTTCTCTTCCATCCACACCAATCCTTTTCTCAATGCTTGGCGGTCGCTGAAAGCAGACATCAGTTCTGCCAAGCAGGATTAGGTACCCTTTGTGTGGATGTCCCTCCCACCCACCTAACCCCTTCCACAATGCTGCTCTTCGACCAATCCCTAGATCGTTTCAAGTCCCTCGATTTTTCCTACAAACCACAACCACTTTCTCGCCGCACGAAGGCGAATCTTGACATATTTTTTTACCAACGCATGGACAGGATTGAGTACGGTCCCGTTTCGAGCCATTGGCGGCATTCCTTTTGTGGCATACCTGACGGCTAGCTCTGAAATAGGCTGCAATTTTATTATCAGTCTTCTCACCGATGTGTTTCCCAACAGTTTTACTAGAGCGTTTCTTACGAAATACGTAACATGTCGATTTGCCTTCTCTTGCTCCTAGTGTTGCCATTTGCGGCCGAATTGGAAGTCTGCTAAGATCCGTTGGAATCTCGGAATTATTATAGATGCGAACTCAGCGCGTCTTAATGTCCGCGGAGCGAAACAGTTCAGACCGGCCCGCGTGCCTGCAGTATCCGAGTCGGCGAAACTAAGTAGCTCAAAACTCCGACTAAATACCTGTTCTTGGACGTAAAACATCTGTAGAAGCTTCGTATCGAGTACGTGCTTTTCCAAATTACAAGGACTCCCTCGTCCTGGGAATGACGACGAACAGCACACCCGATACTACTCGGAGTAGCAGCAGCAGCAGCAGGCTTCGCAATCACGCTATTACAAGTTGTAGTCCAGACCAAGACCGTGACGAGCGCCGCCGGCAGCGCCGGAACGCCGAGTCGGCGGTGTCCGAGTCGCCGCGCGGAGGCCGCCCGTCAACACTGAACGTGTTGGGTCTCTCCGCTTCCGAAGGACCCCACAAGGGAGTGGCTGACGATTCGGAATTGGAACTGCCAGCGCGGCCGCAGACGACGCCTCGGAAGCGGAGAGAGGGCCTCCCTCCGGGCGAGGCCCGTTCGGAGAAGCTTGTAGTCCACCCTGAGCCGGAGCGCGCACGGCCGCGACGGCATTTCCGGGTCCGTTATGGTGCAGTTATCGCGGTGGATGATGATGTCGCGGAAGGGGGTGAAGGAGGTGGTGAGTCCGACTCGCGTTTCGTTAGTCGGAGAGAGGAGGGTGGGGCGGGTGAGAAGGAGGATGAGAGGGAAGAGGAGGAGGAGGAAATGGAGGCGGAGGAGAGCAAGGAGGGAGAGGAGGGTCGAATTGTTCAAGAAGTTGTTGAGCGACATCATCACCAACATCATCATCATCATCATCAGCAGCAGCAGCAGCAGGGAGCTGTCGTGAGGCAGCTGCGCGTTACTACTGACGGCACCACAAGGACCGTAAGGGCTACCATCATCCAAGCTGGCGCTACTAGTACTCCTCCTCCCATTGGTGCTAGCAGTAACGCTGTCGTTGCTGGTGCTTATGGTGACGACATGGCCAGCAACGGCTGCGAAGGCAATTGTGGCAGCTGTAACAGCGGCGGTGGAAACGACGGCGGCAACGGCGGCGGTAACGGTGACGGCCTGTTGGTGGGAGGTCAGGCGACAACGGGGAGCATATTCAAAGGGTCCTCCCGCGTTCTCACGGGTCCTGTGGCTCATCTCTTGACGAAAGACCCGAGTGGCCTCGTTCCCGACCTTGGCCGTGCTGCTAGGAGGGCTTGGAGTCCCCCTCAGGCTACTCCTCCTCCTCTTGATCCCCTCGTGCAGCATCATGACGGGACACCCTGTCAGGAAGGTTTCGCCCGTCAATCTCGGATCTTCGCTCCTCCTCGGTCCTCCACTCCGCCTCACTCTCTCACCCTGCCTCACTCCCTCACTCCGACTCACTCCCTCACTCTGCCTCACTCCCTTCCTTCCCTCCTTCAAGCTCACTCCCCCGTTGCTCCTCACTCACTCCCTCCGCCTCAGCAATCAGACGAAGCAACACCTGCCGCCACTGCTGTTGCTGCCCCTGGAAACGTCGTCCCCGCTCCTCCCCCTAGTCCGTGCCCCACTGCGTGTCATCGTGCTCTCCCCCATCCCCCTGCCCCGGTTCCCCTGGCGGAGGTTCCTCTCCCCGCTGCTGCTACCACTGTCATCGCCACTGTTGCGATCACCACCGCCACCAACACTGCTGGTACTACCGAAGCCGCCACCACCACTGCTGCTATCACGGGCGCTGCCACTATCGTTGCTACACGCAGTGCCTCGCAAGCTGCCATATCCCACGGCGAGGCAAGCGGCAGCGAGAGCAGTGACGGCAGTGAGGGCAGTGAGTGTAGAGGTGGCCGGCGGTGCAAGCGAAGCCGGGAGACAAGTGGCGGCGACGACTTGGCGGGGAGAATGTGCTCTCCGAGGTGTGATAAGGGGGCTGCTGCTGGGGCTGACGCTCGGCGTTGCGGACGGCATGGGCGGGAAGCGGGGGAGGAGCAGGGGTGGCAGGGGGGCAAGGAGGTGCAGGGGGGGGAAAAGGTGCAGCAGGGAATGGGGGGTTCAAGGAGGACGGCGGAGGAGCAAGAGGGGCACGAAGAGGAGGGCGAACGTGGGGTTAGCTTTCCAAGCTCGCGCGGAGGAGTTGGTGACGTTGTACGGTGCTCAGCCTCTGGT